TCCCTTCCCACTGGGCCTGCCTGGACTGAGAGTCTTTTCAGCGTAGGTCTTGGTAGTGTTCCTCTGCTAACCGGTGAGTTGGCTCAGTAAGTGACATGGGCAACACAGGTGTTAGTACTCACCAGCCCTGGGTCTCGTTTCTATCCTTTATTAACCCTTTCAGCTTGGGAAGTAGCACAGGCAGAGCCGGGAGGGGATTTACATGCCATCACCCTTCATATGACAGTTCAGTCTCTTACAGATTTCTCCTCCTCCTCTTCTATCAGTTTATCCCATAAACACTAATGAAAACCCAGCACTCTGAGTGGCTGAAGCAGGAGGACTGAATTCAGTCTGGGCAAATTAGCAACTTAGTGAGACCTTATTTAAAAATAAAATTAAAAAAAGGGCGGGGCCTTGAGTTTAATCCCTTGTGCCAAAAAAGTGCACAGGCCTTGAGTTTAATCCCTTGTGCCAAAAACCAAGCCAAACTAACCAAACCAAACCAAACCAAACCAAACCAAACCAAACCAAACCAAACTAAACTAACACCCATAATGCCTATTATATGCAGGCACAAATTGTGCTTATCATACAGAATAAGACTTGGGCTTTGTTCACAAGAAGCTGAGTTTGGTGGGAAGGATAAATTTAAAGAAGGAATGAGGGCCTACAGACTACACAGTCAGTCTCAGATTTGTTACTTCTTGTGTTTGCTTACATATGTTTCTTCTGATACGCAGATCTAGCAGTCTACCGGTAACAATCTGTGGGAAAAGCAAAGCTTGAAGCTCTAGCTTTTGTCAGTTTCCACGGCGTAAATACCACTAGTGCAGCCAGTTTCAAGCTGGCTATGGGAGGGAGCTGGGGCCAGACTTGGGAGGAGATAAAGAGTGACAGTAGTGCCCCACTTTGTAGTATCCCCCATACAGGTATAATAAGCATAAATAATTTCAAGATAAGTGTTAGGAAGATAATTTGGAAGTGCTGACTCTTAAGTATTTTTTACCTTTGTTTTAATATAATTTATTTAGTTTTAAGTATATGTAATTTTTACCGGTGGTTATATTACTAATTGACTTTAAAGTTCTCTGAGAATCTAACGGTCAGCTCTCAAAGGCTGGATGTTCTCTGCACGCTTGCTGTTGCACTGGGTGCCGTGTATCACTGGGTAAGGTGTATCAGTTCTCAAATCCAAGGTGTCCTCCCCATTTTATACCCCACCACTCCTATGTCTTTCTGTCCTCAGAGCTCTACTCTCAAAGAGCCTTGAGTAACATTAATTCATTGTGTTAGATTAATGTTGCACCTGTATTTGTGTACAAAGATCCTTTAGTTTAAATGTTATTTAAGTACTAGGTTGAATTTTTGTTTTCGTACAGGATAGAAAGGAGATGAACACATACATTATCAGATGGTTTCTTTCTGAAGCCTTTGTACAAATAATGCATGTTACAGATGCTTATGGTCTTGAATCATTAGCATAACATATGCTCCTGCTCAAAAATGGCAAATTTGTTTCCGTTCTGAAATAGCTCCTGCCTTAGCTTCCACATCCTTATGCTCAGGGTTTGGCTGTGGTGGATGTGAAGGACCTGCATGCCAAAGGATGCGTTTAGATGCCAATTGTTTTTGTCTGACCCAGACTGGACCATTGAAAGCTGGTGGCATTATTTCTGTCATTGTCATGGTCACCATTGCCCCGTCCTCATCATCATTACCAACAGGCAGTGTTTATCAGAGGACATCATGTGCATCTCACTGTGACAGATACCATGCAAATCTATTGGCACCAAAGATGCTTTGAAGGTCAGAGCTCAGATGCAGAGCAGGCAGCATCAGAGAAGAGAATCCTTACAGTTTTAATGCAGGAGATTGGGTGGGGTGATGGGGGCAGGATGTTACTACTGTGGGCAGGGGGGACGTAGGTGACAGAGGCCTAGAGGCAGTATGTGGTGAGCCTTTAGACACACATCTCATTCAGGGAGTATAGGCGGGGTGAAGGTGCAATGGACCTGACTGGGGAGCAGGGGAGAGAAATAGAGCGAGGAACAGAGAGAGACACACACAGAAAAACTGAGACAGAGAGACAAAGAGAGAGAAAGAGACAGAGACAGAGAGATGGACAGACAGAGAAACACAGAAACAGAGAGATGGAAAAATGTAGAGAGAAAGAGGGAGAGATGAGGGAGAGAAACAGAAGGAAAAATAGAGACAAGGAGAGTCAGAGGGAGGAGGAATGAGGGAGGAGGAATGACAGAGAAAGAGAAAGCAAAAGCATTCCTATGTTGGGTGACATAGGAATAGGAGGCAGGGAGAAGGAAGTGGGCTCTCAGGGGACTGACTGAGGGGCTGAGGGGCATCTTCAGGCCTCAGCAGGTGCCCTCCCCCTCCACCACACCCCTCTCAGCTGTCTCCTCCTACCTGGCCACTCACTTTAGGGGTAAGAGACTAAGGGAGTGGGAAGGACTGATGTATATATCGAGTTGTAACCACCTAGCCCATGTGGATTAATTCCTGGGCAAATTCAGGGGGAGTTTTCACTTTAACCAGCCAGGGCCAGGCTGTGAAAATTTCTCCAAATTTTTATTGTCTATTTCAAAAAGAACTGAGAATCTTTCTTCATGAAGGATGCTGTTTGAAAATCTCTGGAGGGGAGGCAATGCAGACCCTTGTCTTTTAAGGAGATTTTATTAAAAAGAGAAAAGCCAGGGTTTTGAGCTGCAGCATTACCATCGATAGGCCTGCCAACAACAAACCCAATGCAGGTTTGTAGCCCCTGTTTAATTTATTGTCTATTGATGTTTAAGATCCAAGAGAAAACACAATTTCATTTCTGGAGCATTAATTTACTTCATTTTCCTGGGGATTCTGAGAGTTAATTTAAAAACCCAATGCCATCTTAGGGTACCCAGAGAATTTCTGGTAAAGTGAAAATTGTGGCATTTTTTCTTTTACTCCATGAATAGATGGAAGTATTACAAAGGAGGAATACATTTTCCTCTGAAAGATGAGCTATTTGACGACTACAGGCTATTCCCTTTGATACAGAAATCAGTGCTTTGATTTATTGTCATTAGGCCGTCTCCTTCCTCCGCTGAGCCAGGGGCAATCAAAGCAGGGGAAGCAAATAGCACTATTTTTCCTGTAGCCGTTCGGTAATTTCCCGTGAGAATCCTGAATCCCTGTTCTCAGGAGTTGATGTTTTATCCATCCTGTGGCCACAGAAGCCTCACAGAGGAGGATCCTGAGGCAGAGGTAGAGGGCAAAAGTCTGCACCTTGTCTTCTTCCTTGCTGGGACTTGGCCTGGTGGCTTCTGTCCTTGGCTCTACACTTCTCAGCATTGCCTGATGTTCCCACCTTTGATCTTAAATTGAAAATAGTCCTGTCATTCTTCAGACTTCATGCTCTGCTCTCCACAGTGAAAGGTAATGAACGGACCAGTTTCATGGGTTCTCCTAGGTAAACAGTCCCATTCAGTTGGTCCACAAATATTTACTGAGCGTGTAAGACATGTCCTGTACTGCATAGATCGTGGAGACAGAGTTTGTGTGCTGGGGAAGCCCTGGAATGGCTGCATTTCAGCTGCAGACTGTGGAGCTCGCTGTGCCCTCCACCCCTCAAGTGCTCAGATCCTGCAGTGGAGGCAGGGAGCTGAAGACCTCAGGGGTACAAGATGCTTCTTAACTCAGCACACATTTGCCTTGGTGGGTGATATGTTTGGCTTCCTCAGACTTCATTTGCCTTCTCTCCTCCCCAACAACCTCTGTCCCCTTTACATCCTGTGAGATCAACCTTTGCTTTGACTAGTTTCAGCCACCAACATATTCACAGAGAGGGTTTCAGGAACAGCCATTCTATAGGAATTTGATGGCATATACTTGTTTAGAAACCACATTAGTGTGGAATACTGTTTTCACTTGCGTTATAAACTATGGAATCTTACATCTGTCAAAGCTTCTAAGAGATCTGACTCACTCCTAAACCAAGATTTCTATGCCCACTTTATCATTCTTATTATTGGATGGCTTTGAAAAGCTTATGGCCTTTTTCAGCCAAACTCAGGCTTCCACATTCTACCCCTCAAAATGTGCTTTATAATTATCTTCCAAACTGAATTTATAGAAAGTTTCCAAAAGTGGGGACAACATTCTTGGGGTATCAGCATGGAGGACAGGGGGTGAAGGGAGCTGATTTAGGGCATCAGAATGAGGCAGAGGGATGCATGCTATTCTTGGGGACTCTCATTGACCAGCAGGAGCTCTGGGAAGGGGCTGGGATGCCCTTCGTGTAAGGTTTGTCTCCTCCAGCTCACCCAGGGACTGAAGCTTCCCCTCCTGAGACCAGCATATGGAGGCTTTTGAAAATTTCTTAAAGTTTCTTTTACAATAGCAAGGGAGAGATGTCATGGCCATCTAAAAGTCAGTGTCTTTCCTTGGGTGATTGTCAAGGTTTAGTGAAAGATGAGAGGCCTGGCAGGGAGGACCCCTTTGCCTCTCAGTTAATTCTGTGGCCAATCTGGACAATGATCAGGCCATTCAGGGACAGTGGATTCAAGTCATAGGTTTTATTTGTTTGAAGTGGCAACCTGAAATTGTTAGGTACTTTCTCTCTGCAGATATATATATATATATATATATATATATATATATATATATATATGGATCATGTTGGGGTCAAACCCAGGGCCTTTCTACAGAGCTATATCTCAAGCCTATTTTTGAAAAAAATTTTCAATTTTGAGAGGATCTCTCTCAGGTGCCCAGGCTGGATTTGAACTTGCAGTCCTTCTGCTCTTCCTTCCAAAGTGCTGTGATTATAGACTTGCAACACCACACCAACTGTCAGAGCACTTTTACTTCAAGCATGTGGACTGCCTGTTGGAGAGAGGTGTGATGCTTCATCACATAGGCACTTAACAACATATGCTGTGTTTCTTTGACCTCACTCTCGACTGGGATGTGAGTTGAATCGAGTCAGCTGGTGGGTTTTGGAAGAGGACAGCTAATTGGACTCTTACCTGGCAATCTTGTCTGTGCACGACATGGTGACCAGTTGCTCCCCCAGCAGGATGCCGTCCCATGTCTGGACTGTGCTGGGCCCCCGTACGGGGACCGTCCCTTCCCCAGACTCAATCTTGGTGCGCAGGTGCCCTCGGAATTTCCTGACGAGGTGTTTGCTGCTGTTCACTGGGAAGGAAGAGGTGGTGATGAGACATAGCAGGGGCACTAGTCCAGCGGCAGGAAGGGTTCATGGGTTTGAAAAGTGGGAAATGAGGAGGGAAAGGAGACTGAGATGTGGCAAAGTCTCCCCAGGGGGAAGGAGTAAATGCAGAGTGGGGGAATTTCCTTAACCTCAGCAGTGTCAGGGTTAAGAACTGAGCTCTACAGCAGTGCCACTCAGCCCGTGTCAGTCCCCTGTCCTGGGAAGGGCACGAGGTAATGTCTCAGAAAGTCAGTGTGCCAGACAGTTTCTGTCTCCACCACCCAACTCTGCCGCGGACCCGCGAAAGCACCCGGTGATGTGTTGATGAACTGGTCTGACTGTGTTCCTCCAGCCCTCAAGGTATGGATACACACTTCTACATGTAAATACATTATTTGACATGTTGTGAAATACAGTCTGCCTTCCATATTCATGAGTTCTGCACTTGTGGATTCAGCCAGTCGAGAATAAAAAATATTTAGAAAAAATTGCTTTTGCACTGAACATGTACACCCATTTTTATTATCATTTTTCTCTGAACAGTAAACACAGGTAGTTATTGAAAAAATAAGGTGAATGTTTAAATTAAATGAATTTATTATAGTAAAAAACACATCACCAAGAATGGTGGGACAAAGGTGTTGGAAGAGGGCAATATATAGAGTATTTTGAGAGGGATTAATTACAATTTGTCTTTTACTGTAATAAATTTTTAAAATTTAAATACCTCATATAACAGCTATTTACATAGTATTTACATCATATTAGGTATTATAAGTAATCTAGAGGTGATTTAGAACCTATGGGAATATGGGCATAAGTTATGTACAAATATTGTACCATTTTATACAAATGACTTGAGCATCTGTGGGCTTGGTATCCATAGAGGGTCCTGGAATCAAACCCTGGTGGGTACCGAAGGGTGACTGTATTATTCTTTTCACTTTTTCTGCATTTACAAATTGTAAAACCATTCATGTCTAGCTTTCAGGCCATGCAGAGAGAGGTGGTGGGTGGGATTTGGCCCTCACAGTAAGATAGATCTGAATCCTTGTTCTGTCATTTACTAGTATGTAAAGTTGGGAAAGTTACTTAAACTCACTGTGAAGTGGTTATTTGCTCTTAATCAAATAGTGACAGTAACAGTGCCTGCTTGCTAGGCCTTGAGAATTTGATATCACATGTGAAAGTGCTTGTATAGCTCGGAGCCTCTCAGATCGTCTTAAGTTCCTCTGATTACAGGCACTTTCTTCAGCCCAGAAATTATGAGATAAGGATATCTTTATTCATTCCTCAAGTGCACTGTGTCATCCCTTTCTTTCAAAGCACTGTACATACATATCCTCCCACATATGCCATACCTTGCACACGATGCTTACTAGAAGTACTATGAACAAGATGAAATTTGCATTTTTTGTTAAAATATTTCAATATCAATTTTGGATTATAATAGTTACCTGTTTTGCTTGCAAATATATATATATAAAAGCATAGTGATCTTATCATTTACACATATAAATATGAAATAGTAAACATTTTAAAAAAGGTTTTTAAGCTTTAGAAATTGTTGGTGTCTCTTCCTCATTTATTCTTGTTGAAATGCTCAATAGCAGACATTTGGATTTTATGGGAACCTTCTCCTACAGATAGCAGATAAACTTCTACTGTACTGTCTTACTGGTTCTAAGAGCTGGAGTATCTAAGGGCTGTATCCCTTTTGGGAAGAAAGATTGCCATACTCCTTGGAAAAAATAAACTTTTAGAAGGTTTAAGACAGATTTTTATACTATGTAACCAACCAAATACTTGATGAGATCCAACTTGGACTTGTCTGTGAGTCTTCTATGTGAGGGAGGGTCAAAGACAGAAAAGTAACCTGGACAGGGTATAAGAAACAAATACCCAGCCCTGTCATTCAAGGAGAAATGAGGATCTCTTTGTGGTAGCTTGAAGTGGTACTGTGTATCAGATAATGGACATAATGGTGATGACTGCCCAGATGTCCATGGTGTCAGTGTGAGCAGGATGGATGATGGTGCTGTTGCTCCTCAGGATAGTGATGATTATGATAATGGTGGCAATGATAATAGTGAGGATGGAGGTGACGGTGTGATGATGTGATGGCGATGATGGAGATGGCAATAGTAATGATGACGATAATAGTGATGATAATGGTTATGATGGCGGCAATGATAATGATAACACGATCATGTAAAGATGATAGTAGTGATGGTGCTAGTGGTGATCATAAGTTGAACACAAAATAGTTCCTATAATTGGAAAATGCTTGAGAAAACTTTGAGTTTAACCTGAAGTGTTACACTCTCCATTTGGGAGCTTTCTCACTAGGAACTCAGTGGCAGGCAGCACTGGAAACAGGGGCGCCCGCATGCCTCAGTTTCTACAGTGTTACCACAATGTTGAAAACTTTACCCTTCCTGTTGGGAGGCAGTTTCTCAGGGAACCTTCTATTTCTGTTTCTGTTAATTATTTCTATTTCTGTTAATTATAATGTCCTTATATTCTCCCAACACTTCAACTATTGGGTGATTTTCCAGGTCTCTAAAGTTGCCTATTATGCTGTAAAGCCTTTCTAAATTCTTACATCTGTTAAGGGAAAGACAGCAAGGAGATTTAGCTGGTATTAACTACTGGTTTCTAGGAGTTAAGGTTAGATTCATTTCGCCTCAAGAGCCAGGTGCATGAGACACTCTTGAGAGCGTGTATTTTTGGAGGAGTTAGATCTCAGGCTGCTTTCTCTAGCACACTCCCTGCTGAGCTGGAGCAGCCCCAGGCTGGCTCTGAGTGCTGGGAAACTCACAGAACTTCTTCCTGTGGCTCTGTCTCAGCTAATTGCAAGAGGCAGGAGGGAGCTGAAGATGCCACTTCAAGTAGAAAGAAATGTCAATCCAACCAGCAACTACAGGGAACTGAATCTGTAGTGTGCCCGAGACAGTGAACTGTGAAATGTTCAAATCCTGCCTGCCTTGTATGCATAAATACTCCCAAGTCCATCAGGACATTCTAGTCAACTCCTGTAATCCAAATCATCATCCATTATTGAGTCTTCATCATCGGTTCATCATATATTCATTATTAGTTCATCATATAGTTCATCATTATAGTGTTTATTAGCCTAAAACTCTTATGTTTTGGTGCACTGATGCTATGGTAAATTTGCATGATAATATGCTTTATGAAACTGTTCAAGTGAGTCTTTTATTTTTAGGGGAGAATCAAAAGGAGATAGCGATTAATGACAAATAAATCAATTCCCTAGGTAGCTAAAGATTTATGTGTAGGGACTCTGGAGAACATGGCGGACAGACAACAGCAACTACTGAACGCTCTCTAAAGGCTCGGCTCAGAGGCCAGGAATGATGCGGACTAAGGAGATACGAACCAGTAGAGATATGCTCTGCTGACTCAGGAACAAACTGGGCTGAGAGAATCCAACTTGGAATACAGTCCTGGCGCTAAAATAGGAACAGAAAAATCTCGGTGTGGAGGCTCGACTCCGCGCCATTGGAAACCGCGGTTTGGATTTCCCGCCGCGCGGCGGCCGGCTACCTCCACAGCGGCTCAGCAAGGAGAGACGCGACCGCCGAGCTCTGGGAACGGGCGTCTCCGAACGGAGTCCCCACGCCATCGGAAACCGCGGTTTGGATTTCCCGCCGCCAGGCGCCCGGCTACCTCCACAGCGGCTCAGCAAGGAGAGACGCGACCGCCGAGCTCGGGAACGGGAGTCTGGGAACGGAGTCGGAAACGCGACGGACAGGAAGGAAGGCTGACTGGTGGCGAGGTGAGCGAGGAACTGACTCCCTACCGCAGTCTGACTCCAGCGGAGGATTTTCTGGGCGCGGGCAGTCCTGTAAGAGCAGGGCGCGGTGGCAACTGCAGCCGCACGGTTCCCTCTCGGACGGGATTGGTGAAAGGTGCCTGGCCGGAGGGACGCTGCTCGCGGACCCCCTAGGCTGGCCTAACCCAGATCCCAGAGCCTGACGGTGGCCCGGAGGAGCGACCGACTTCCGCGTAGGCTGCCTCCTCCGCAACTCCCTGGGGCGCAGCGGTGGGCGGGAACAACTAGCCAGCGCAATTTGATCAGGCTGTAGCTGACAGGCAGGGAAGCCGGGCCTCCTGTGTAAGATTACATTTCATAAGGAAAAGAAAATATGGGGAAGGGAAGTAACAAAAAAGGCTCCTCGACCCCCAATCCTGAGAATCAGGCAAAAGTGGACACTGTACCAACATACATTAAGCGCCATTTAGAGAGCCTCATAGACCAATTCAGGAATGAAGTTATCAATGACCTGAAGCTAGAAGTATGCAGAATAGTTAGAGAAATGCTAAGCACCACCCAGGAAAAAGCAGATGGTGGAGTGGAAGAACAGAAAAAGAGGGGAGAATTGCTTGATGGAGAAAACAGAGAAAGCATTGAGTATGTGAAGCAGGTGCAAAGGGACTATCAAGAAATCAAGAAGTCTACCCAAGACTGGCATAACAGCTTGAAAGAAACTAAGGACAGACTATCTGAATTGGAGGGCAGACTTGAAACATGGGAGAATGAAATGAAAAACTTCTTAAAAATAACAAAGAAACACACAGCAATAATACAAAGACAAGAAGATGATAAGAGGAGCCATAACTTAAGGATTAAGAACATAAAAGAAGAAGTAGGGACACAAACAAGTGAACTACAAAAGCTACTCACAGAAATAATCCAGGAGAATTTTCCTAATTTAGCAAAAGGTAAAGATACTCAAATGTATGAGGCATACAGGACCCCAGCTACCTACAACCCTAACAGAGAAACACCCAGACATATAATAATAAAAATTCCAGAAATTCAATACAAGAACAGAATATTAAAAGCTGTAAGAGACAAGAAACAGATCACTTACAAGGGAAGACCCATCAAAATTACAGCAGATTTCTCTTCACAAACCATCAAATCACGAAGAGCATGGGGAGAAATAATTCAAGC